TTATCAAAGGGACTAATTGCTTTAAATTTCTTTCTTAATTCACCAGTTGAATTTGTATCAGAAAAATCAAGTCGGATTATTATCGAAATCATCAAATTTTGAATAAATACCAAACCTCAATACAAGTCAAACCTAATATTTATCTCTGTCTTAGATACTCTTCTCGTATTAGTTTGTCACCGTTTTCACCATACTATTTTCACCTTTTGTTCATAATTTTCCAAGTATATTTATCAGAAATAACTGTTTGCTCAACAAATATTTTTTTCAGTGGGACTAATGTATTTTTTATTTGGTATTCGACATTATCTTCCTCTGGATTATCTTAGAGTTCTGCTACTAAGGCCTCAACCGATCTATTTTTTTACTTGTGATAATAATTTGTGATTTCGATGAATAAGCAAGTCAACGATAACACCTACATTTCTTATAATTTCCAAGTTGACTTTCGTTATTCTCTGATTAGTTATTTTCATTTTTAGTTTGCCATTTTGTTGTATACTCTCGGGGTCATCATTGTTATTGTGTAAACCGATTTGTTGTATCGTATTTCTGACTTCTTAGAATATGAAAGCTTTTTAATCCGTTACTGCGATGTTGGGAAAATTATGATTTTACAAGCTGTAGTTACATCTGGCAAGCAGCTATCAGATACAGAGAAAGGAGGGGGAGTTAGTCCAAGTCTCTAATCAGTTAAAAAGGAGAGCACTTTCGGTTCATTTTTCGAAGTTGCTCACCTTTATCATCATCGAACTGTCCGTAAGCAGTAACTGACGGTAGTGACATTGAACGCGTCTATTTTGTCACTATCATCTATTGCTGTTAGGAAGTTATGATCATATAACTCAGTAATTAATTTATATTTATTAGTTACAACAATTTAGTCTACTGTGCACACTATAAGTCATCGATTAAATACTACTACTGTTAATACTCAGTTCAATTTACTCAACTTTGAGCATTAATCAGTATAAGTACAACATATAAAACGCAGTGTATTCAGACAGTTTCAATCTACTTTTGGCGAACAATAAATCTTACTCTATCATCCATCGCCTTCATCTTCTTTTTTGTATTGTGTTATATCAACGTTTGTCCACTCATAATAAACAGGTAGTGAGTAACCAATTTTCTCGCGGTTATAACAATTATGCTACAATCGCATTGACTGTAGCATTATAGAAGTTTTTTGTTTCTTATTTCATATATTGTTCTTGAATATTCAAGTAATGAAGAAAATTCATAGTTTTTGACAGTGTTACATTCTTTCATATGAATAGTTTACTCGAGAGGCTTTCACTGTAATTCTGGATAGCCTACTTCATGTAGAATCGTGATATCTATTACAGTTTAGATTAATATTTCCGTTATTCCAGTAGTTCACATTGAAATAATAAAACGCAAACATGATGTTTGTTTTTTCATTTATATCATTTCATATTTTACGTGAAAATATGTACATGTTTAAATATATTATCGTAATTCTACCGAAAACGTGTTTGAGATTATTTTTATTTGTGTATTTATTCATAAAGTTAAGTTAGTGAGTTTTTATTCTGTGTTTTTCTTTAGTTAAAACATTTAATCAGAAGTATTAGATAGTTAAAATAACGTTTCTTTACATACATACGCTAACTGGAAAACAATTTCATATCAAAAATGGTAATTTACTGTAGTCAAGTTTTAACGCTTATCAGAGTGTAGAATGATATTTTTTTTAAATATGTTGGAAAAATTGAAATAACGACTGTTAGCCTTCGTACCAACCATGTTATCATTCTACTAACATATTCACATACAGCGTAGGATAAACATTCGTACTAATTTTATTTGATTAACTCATAGTCACTACCAACACTATGTTTCATGAAATATGTTGTGTATACCTAACTACTGTCTAATTCGACGGACGATGTTGTCTGATGTAAAAATAGGCTGAAAGAAAGCAGAAGATGGACAGTCCACCAGTTCAGGAAGACATTGACAATTAATTTGAACTATGTTAATAGATGCAGACTGTTTGATTAGAGTTCGTGTGATCATCTTAACCAATGGTTGAAGACTTTGAATGACATATCTTAGAAGTGTTCATGATGGCTCAGATGCATTCGCTATTTGTCTTCTCTTAGAACCTTAATCCTGAAATCTTCCCATACCTTTTCTTTTACTATACCCAATTTTTGCTGTTATTACTACTGATACTGTTACTATTTCCACAATTTTTGGATGTTTTTATAATTTCATCTCCCTGTGTTAATATCGTATGCCAACTTGAAATTATGCACATATGCGTCAGGCTCTACTGGGCACATGACTTGATTGACTGACTATGTTTCAACAGTAAGTGTATCCATTCTCTCACTGTCCTAATGATATTTTTTGGTGATGCGATATCTAATCTATTTAAAACCAAAAAATACAGTTACTCAGTTTTTTTTTACCTCAGTTACACTAATTCTTTTTTCATATTATACCATACATGATAATGATGAAAAATATATTTTTAAAATAGATCGATCTGTCTGAGAACTAGTTAAATGGATAGTATTGTCGATGATTTACGTCATTCCGTAACAAACAATAAATTTAATAATTGATTCTAAAGACAAATCTTAATTAATTAGATGAGTGAATAGTTTTGGAGTTTCAGATTATTCAAAATGTGAAATTGATTGAAAAATAATTTTAAATCACTTGGATATTACATAACTTTCACTTTCTCACATGTTGCTGTTAGAACACTGAAACAGAAATAGAATCCACTTGAACTGAAATCTAGAGTTTATCTCTCTCTTAACTTAGTATGGTTGAAAGGCTCAGGAACGTTTGGTTTACTTTAATATCTTAACTAGCTATAAAGTGCAAGACAAATACTTTTTTCTTATCCAGTTAGCCTTCGTCATTTGCATCAATAACTTCTGGTGATTTCTAATCCAAGCACTTTTCTTCAAATAGTTTTTACAATGAAAATATTTGGGTAAAAGTGTATTTTATTGAAGATTGATTAACTCAATGCACACTTAATCCTTGAATGTAATCTTATTTTTATCAAGAATGAGTCAGTCAGCTAAAAAATGGCGCAAGAATCTGGTACAAATAGGCAACTCTTCAAATTCATAAGTCCTAACAACACGACGACATGAATTTATCACGATGAATATCGGACTAACATTAACAGTAACATTAAAAAAGTGCTTTGATATAGAGATGCAAGAAATAATTCACAAAATAAAAGGTATAAAATAATTCTGAAGCTCAGGATCTACATGTAGGCAAAGAGTGAATGTCTCTGCACTCCTGCAACTGATTCCGGATCACATCTTTAAAGATTTCTAACTACTAATAGTTGTTATCGCACCGACTCCAACCACATGGTCTATGCCTACCAACGTCATTTATGAAATTTTATACGACTTTCAGTTATTTATTAGGTAACTTTCAAAGGTCTTGAGTTTCAAACGAAATTCTACTTAGATTGGTTCATGATTTAAATAAAATCCATTAATCTCCATACTCCTATACTGAAAATAATTTAAGTATTTCAGTAGGTTAAATGTAAATTATGAATTTCTATTACTCTATTCTACTGCAGATTTCATCACAAATAAAAATGAAACGGTTTCAGAATTAAATTTTCTTATTGATTTATATTTATATTCCTCATTGTAACAAACCGTAAACAAAAGTAAACCCTGTAATTGATAATTGATAATTTCGAGTATTTGTTTTTCTGAAAATCGTTTGTATCAAATAGAATTTACTGAGGCTAATTATTATGCTTGTACTCAAATGGTGAGTTAAGATTATATGTGAAAATGCAATGATCAGATCAGACTAAAAATGGATTATTCGCAAAGCCAAACATCAGCACACATATACTAGTGTTAATTTATTCTCATCTTGTATAATTACAAGTGTAGGTGATTTGTAGACATTATTGTTTAATAGTAGAGCTTTTTAAATTGGTTTGGTCAGTTAAATGTTAATATTGATAGATGAATACTGTTAATGATTCGTACTGAGATATCCGACACAGTAGGAAACACGATTTCTATATTCTCTTGATATCTTACCAACACTGACTCTTAAGAATTATATAATCATAAAATACAATCTCTATCAAAAAAATCACGATTCGTTATCAGAAAACTCTGTGAGTTAGGTAAACAGTAAGCGCACGTATCAATGCTTTTCAAAAGAACTTATCAGCTTATTGACTAAAGTGGCATACAACAATACAGATGGACGGTGTAAACACATTTGATGTTCGTTTGCCTCTTCTTAATACTCAGGACATGTTATTTCCATTACAAATTATGAGGAAAAAATGAAACCGTCCTGCTATGCTTTAATAACCATCAAACTATACGACCTAATTGGAAATTAATATGTTAGGCTACTAATCAATGAAATAAAAGTTGCATCGCCTCCCGTTTCCATTCACTTTCCTAACCAGTATAAATAATCCAATTGAATAGTTTGTCTTTAATTGAAATCATGAACCAATCTAATTTAGACTATCATTGAAAAACTGAAAGCGTCGGATAGCTGTCTGATCTCAGTATGGGACTTCTCAGCACAAAAAACCGAACTCAAAGACCTTCGGTCTTGTGCACATATATATATGAGATTCCGGCTAGCAAGAATACAGTTGTCTGATGAATTTACCGGACCGCTTCACTTTTTTGTCTTGTCTTATGTACAGATATTTCCAAGTTGACATTAGTTAGAGAATAATTAACATCCATGGAAAACTAATCTTAGTTTAAAATCTCTTGATGTAGTACATCGCTAAACTAACTCTTTTATGATCGGACCATCGTCCGGTACGGTTATTTTTAGACATCAGTTCTCACTTTTTATTTGATAGCTGAGTCCACTCGGCTATACTGACTGGTGAGTATTGATGTGTATTTTTAATATTGTTTTTTCTTTCGCGATCTTTTTCTTACTATTGTATTCTTATTTGTTTATATCCATTTTTTAAAAATCTTTTTTAGCATAGACGTTTTCTAGATTTAGGAAGACAAGAACAACATTTAGACGGATTACAACAATGTGTAAACAGTGGAAGATTAAATGAACATCGTAAATATATACAATCACAGAGAGTGGTAAAAGCGTTACAAGGTGCTACCGATTGTCGAGTGAAAAACCTTATGAAATCTGTGAACTATGATTATGACGATAGTCAAAGGGATTGTAACAAATTAATACCTAAAAGATTGAGTGTTAGCAAAAAGAATAGTGATATAAACATGGTAATTAATTTACGTAAACGTTTGATGTCAGTGAATCGATTATCATTAAACTTGTTTAAATAACATAACTGAACTTGAAGCTCTGATTTCACGTATTCAAGTAGCTAAAAACAAATTTTATAATACCTCCTAAAATTCTTATTAGTTGTATACTGCTTTAAAGTCAGTAGTAGTTAATGTATTGTATAATAAGAATCATAGCATATAACAATGAAATTAGCTTTCAATTGTTTAGGTTTATCGAAAAATAAATTAATGAAGGTTGAGGATTGATTAATCTACTGATGGGTGTTGCTTTAGTACTCATGTATGTTAACGGGTTTAAAGGCACAACCTTATAGATCCTTACATATATAGATGACCTATAAACTTTTTTAATGGATTCTTTTAGTGATATAAAGAAATATTAATCACTAAGATATCATTAGGAAAAAAATGTGGCAAATTACATTCTTCGATACTTACCATATGGATTTCCTTGGGTTTTACATGTGTTTTCTTAATTACACAATATACTAATTGAGTTTCGTACATTCCTATGTATTCCTCTGTTTTATGACTAACATAATGTTTATTAAGACTGAATTGATGAAAATCTATGACCATTTTTATGTCAGTATTGTCAAATATTACTTGTTTTGATTAGGTTTACTACGACCAAGTTACTCAGTATCCATTGTGTGTGCATACATTCCTCATCATTATGAACGTTCTGAGCAGTATACAAAGGTATTTCTACCTCTTGTATATGTAATATCAAATATTTTCGAGCATGTTTCCTTTCATTTAATAAATGACTGTTGCAAACAAGAGCATTATTTTCACTGGGGACTTCATCTAGAATTAGGTGCATGTGTCTTCTGTGAATACGCTACTGTAGCGCATCCCGAATTCCCGGATGAAAAAAAAAACAAATAAGGCGAAAGTTAGAGCTTAGAATGAAATCTTCAATAAAAATTGTGTCTTTTTATGAAGCACTCATTCACCGAATTAACGGAAAAATGCTAAAGGTTGGATAAATACTAAATCCTGCGAAGCTGATGTGCTACAAATTCACGAACACGTATCCTATCCTCTCGTTTTATATGAATTTTGAGCAAAAACTGAAAAGTTATGAGCTCAATTCTGATTAGATTGTCCTTATACTATACTTTTACTAATGAATCTTCCATTTTTTAAACATAAAATCATAATTATGAAGTTTTCATTATGACTTTTATTGGCTTACAAATACACCTAACAATACACTTTTCTTTGACTATACAATGCATAAAGAAAAACTGAATGATAACATTGGAAAGAATTCCCAGTACTCGAGCTAGCAAAAATACATCTCAAGATGTATATATATTTCTACTTTTGTGTTTGACAGACTTGACTATTATGAACAGGACGGTGAATATTAGTAAACATTTTCAATTTTCCGGTAGACAATGGGTTCGAATTCCAGTATGAACATCACTAGGATGGAAGTGCATCCACCTGATGAGTTCCAAACAGAACGAAATGCGGATATTAGACTCCAGTTCTAGTCATATATCATGTATACTATGTAGTAGTGAAAATTTTCAATGTTATTATATTAACGTTCATTTTATATCAATAGTCCCAAGTATAAATATATAACAGTTGGAGTTATTTTAATTGAATAGAATATATGCTATTCGTTGAACGGGTGAAACTATATTATTACTTTTAAAATAATCAGTTTTCAGATTTTAGGTTTTAAGTTTTGAGGCATAATCAAAAGTATCATGAAAACTATTAATTGTACAGTGTGAAATCCCGAAAGTAATATGATTGTAAAGTATTAAAGGTGTGTTGAATTGCTATGATTAGGTATAATGTGCTATTTTGAAACAGACGCTTACTTGTTCTCATTCAAATAGTATTAACAACGTACGTCAGTTAGGACAGGCTGTCTTTTTGTTCATTCACTTTTAAATTTCAAGGAAAACTAAGTTTCTAGTGATTCACTATTGGACAGAAAACATTCTTGTAAAAATCGAAAAGATTCAAATAGATCTAGATCTGGCCATAACGTTTATCATCCTCACTTTTTGTAGTACATTAATGAATATTTGTGCATACGAGCAATGTGAAATCTATTTGCAGTTATTTAGGGAAAAATCATTATTATCTGATATAGCATTTATAGTGAAAATTGTTTTGAAGTCAAATATGAGTTGCTGTGCTGAGGATACTTTAATTTCATAGTTAAATAGAGTTTAGTTAAAGGTTCATAAACTTTAACAGAAGGCTGTGGACAATATTTCAAATAAATATTCTAAAGATTATCTATCCGCCTGCTCGTTAACCAAATAAGAGACAGTATAAGATAGCTCTTTCATTAACATATTTCCGTATATTATCTGACCGATTAATCTATCTGTTACAGATTCTTGGGATTCTTATCCTACCTTCATGGCTTGATACTAAAATCTATAATAAGAACTGCTTATCAATCTAATTCTAATGATATGGTCACCGTAATAACTGTTACAAACGCTCTCATCAACTGTACGGAAATCATATTTTGGTGTGTAATATATGTTTTGGTTGAGATCATGAAGGGATCGACGTTAGACCATCACTGAAAACCTGGAAGCACTGGATGGCCGTTTCATCCTGGTATGGGACTCCTTAGCATGATCTCAACCAAAACTCAACAATCTCCACAACCCTTTACTGATAATTATCATATACTAACTAGTTATTAGATTCAAGATGGATTTCCTGGAATAATAATGAGAAACCGCGACCAGTGGAGCTCAACTTTGTCTGGTGTGAGGCAGTTACTCACTGAAGGCAATGGAGAACGGTTGAACAATATCGTGGATTGGTTGAAGTTAGACATTAACATTATCGGATGCAGGCTCAGTGGTCCAGAGGTTAGGTGTTTGCACACGAGACCGAATGTACTGGATCCGAATCCCACGTTAAAGATAGTGGATACACACTGCCTATCAGTGGGAGAGTATGATGTGCATCAATCCCTTCTATATTACTCTACAGTTGTAAAACTGAAGAAAGCATTTATAAAATCCAATATTGTTACCGTAGTTATCTTTGAAGCTTTGTCCTCGTATTATGGGAACCATCGAGTCAATAATGTGAGATAAAATGTATGGTGCTAGTTATAAAAGACTGGTAGATTAATAAACCTCTCAGTTTTATCGACCGAGGTGGCTGAAATATATGTTGTGCTTAACCACTGTCTACCTAGAAACCCTTTAGTGGTTGACATAGGTGTAGGTTGAAAGAATGCTAAGGGTTCAAAAACATGATAGTTCTAGATTCTAGTTTAATAATTATTAGCTTAAAGTTATAATAATTTCCGTTCTTTGGTTTCATGTACCTAGAATAAATGTTAAACTTTTTATTGACGAATTAATGAGCAGTATTACATCAACCTATCTCACTTTACTAATTTACATCTCTCTTGTGACCTGCTGTTGTGTCCCATTGTAATATATGTTTATTTCCCATTACATGTGTAGAATAATTCTTTTGGTATAATTCCAGCATTCCATATCAAGCGAAGATTCTACGCTTATGTTAATCTGACTTATCTAATTCAGATTCTTGTTAAGCGTCATCTGAGAAGTCTAGATATCCTGGATTCGATCTCTAGTGAAACCGTGGATACCTACTATTGAGTAACCTTAGACTATGATGTAACAACTGTTCAGTTCTCCCTGACTTTCAAAGAATGTCTAACCAAAGTCAGTCCATTATGTAAAACTTCATAATCTAATTGACTTCAGTTATAAAACTGAGTTCTCATGATCAAACAATAGGATTATCTATGCTACCGAGATTTTAACATATTACTCGTTGTTATCTAGTACTATGATTTGTGTTTCATAATTTTCCCATTTCAGTTTATGGTCAATTGCCCTAGTTAGTCAAGTCGTTACCCGGTCAAGTTTCCAAAATCAATAGTTTCTACTGTAAATTTGCGACTAATGTATTCGGTGGTGATGAGGGTTTAAATGGCTCGGTCTTTACAAATGTAGATTAAACAAACGGTAGTTTTATCAGTAAACAAAACAAACTGTATACCTGTACTTATATTTTCCTAAACCAATGCGCTATTCTACCGTGCTGTTCCAACTAATGAGTTTGTAGCCTACTTATTAGTATAAAACAATTGCTATTATTTTTTTCAGTACGTCTCGAAAACAACTTAACACTGTTGGTATCCAGACGTCATCAACAGTGGCATATAAATTTCAACGATTCTAGATTGTATTCAAATCAAAGATAATTGTTTAACCTTTCTAGGAATAGATCCATAAACTGTTTCCAGATTTCTGAAAAAATTTATTACTGAAGGGCAAGGCAGATTTTCCAGTGTACCAACATTTCTACTGCTCATAATAGCAAAATGTTTTTAGAATCTTTGGTCATATATTGAAAATCTCCATCGATAATGTCCAATTATTATATCAACTTAACCAATGCCGAGTTCTTTTATTGACGATATACAATGTTTCATGTTTCCTTTTTTAATTTACTTAGCCTGTCCACGTAGATTACATTTCACGTACAGCTGAAGAACAAATCCAAAGAGCAATGAATCATGGAGAATTTAATAATTTATCAAGTCAAGGTCGTCCAATTGATTATGATAAAAATCCTCATGTATTTGGGGACTCAACTGATAAACGTCTTAACCAATTAATGGCTAATCAAGGTTTCTTGCCGAAATGGGTTTTGTTAAATAAAGAAGTTCATTCTCGTTGGAATATTGCTATTGATAAGTTAAATTCAATCTATAATGCAGAATCTAATTTACATTCTTCAATACGGTCAGAAGCTTGTAAGGTAAGCGACCATTATGACAACAACAACAGATATTCTTCTTGAATAAGTAAAAGATATAATCATAGTAGTGCTGTCATCACTAGTTAACTGTAGTTGGAAAAGCAGACCATTCGATTTCCGACTCATTGGTCTTAAGGTAACACATTCATTACAAAACCAGGTCTCAAGCTCGAGTTTATATGAGGCTGTAGATGTACAATATTGATGGGTATCAATATTATAGGATAGACAAATAAATGAACCTGTATAGAAACTAGTAAATAAATGGATAGACTGAGATTGCTAAACTTATTAACAAAATAAGTGAACATTAGGAATCGGAAATCTGCACAAAGTTCAAAACCGCTTCTGTCAGCAGATAGTCGGGCTTCGACAGTTTGTCTAGTCCAAGTTTTTTCGCAGTCTTCTCAACTTAAGTAAAAGTTTGATGATTCACTGAAGTGCAGTTCTGAGCTGCTTGAACTTTCCGTCACAGTGTATTGTCTAACACCTGTTTCGGAAAATTGTTGATGACCTCTATTATTTTACAGTAGTTACAGCAAAAATTTTCTTTTCGACTTCATTTATTTAAAATGTACAATCGTATCGTATGTCCATCTATCAGTCTACTTGCTCGTGTGGAGCAGGTGATATTGGCCTCACAGAGTGAGCCCTTTCGAAACACATCTCGGAACATTACCCTGACTGGCTCTCCAAAGAATGACAGAATTCAGTCAAAAGCTCAATCTTCGAGCATGTAGTCAATTCCGGCTACTCCATTTCACCAGAAACCTCCTTCAGAATTATACGTCCAGTCATAAGAGTTGACGCAATACGGATGCAAATGAAAAACTTATATATGGCAGAGTCTATTGTTATCCACGAGTTTAAGCCTAATTTTGCGTACAAAAACAGTACGTTCCATTCCTCATTCTCCTATGACTCTAACTTCCCTTTCTATCCTCCATAATCCATCGTTTTTATTCATTATTAATCACTATCCTTCCTACTCCTTTCCAATTATTTTCACAATTATTAAATATAAAACTTTTAATTATTCTGTTCTCAATAACTATCAAGTAAACAATTATTCCACCTCACCACTTTTCCACTAGCCAATTATTACATAACTTCCTCTCAATATCTGATTTCCAAATCTTGACAACATACCATTTCAAGTTTTTTAACTAATTAACACCTTTCTATCTCGCTATAGAACACTATTTTAGTCAATAAAATTGACTATAAATACGATTTAACAGCTTAAGTAAATGAGATCATCGAAAAGAATTTTTTTGCTAAATTGCTTCCCTTTTTTGATGTGGCAGACTTAGCAGATAAAAATAGCTACTAACCATTTTCTGACGTCATCATCCTATCCATTTACATTTTTGTTACCCATCATACTGCCATCAGTTGTTGAGCAGAGTCGTAGCTCATTCTCGTTAAAATTGCCTTCATACGTAATTTATAACTTGTTGTAAAGATCCACTAACTTAGATAGAGTTCTCTTCCTGCCATATTAAACTGAGTATTTCGATAAACTATAATGTCGTTACATTTCATCAACTGTCTAGCGAATCCCTCCTACAACACAAAATTAATGCTTTCTTCTTCAGAATGATGAATTTTCCAACTGCTTACATCTTACAAGTATTCAAGGAATGGCATATACGAGAACAAATCAATGCACGATCAGATGTTAAGTAGTTACTCAAATAATACCAATAAGCTCTCACCGTTCCTATTTGATTTATAGCAATATGATTTAATTGTGCTCAGAAACAGATTGACGTTAATGGTTATTGAATAGGACGCTTTTTCTCCTTCCCGATACTTAAAGTTATGAACGATTTGCTAATGGGATGAGACCGTAAAAGACGATAATTCTCATCGGTTTGCCATCATGGAATTTCAAGATGCTTTTCCGGTTAAGCTCTTTACCCACATATTTAAGTCAATCCCATGTATGACTACATCTGTATACTTGATTTTTTTAATTTAAACTGATACCTTTTGATATAATTCAGGCCAGTTGTTGCCTGGACTGCAGTCAGTAGGAAAGTGTGTAGGCGGAGAGTACAAATAGGCATTATTGTGAGTCCACTATCTTTACAAGTTTCTATAGAAACATTCGGTAAGAAAATTCGCATGCGGTAATCATCTGATATCTTGCAAAAAACGAATATTATCTATATGGTTTATATAATCCTCATAGTACAATAGCCTTTAACTAAAATGGCACCACACCATTTTCCATCCAGATTGACAAACACTCTACCTTCAATATATCTTTCTAGAAATTCAATTGTTACAACAATAAATTTTTTCCTAAGGATTTCTTTAAAAAGGACCGAATGTATTCGGTTGGAATCATTTTGTAGGTATGCTTTATAATTTACTGCTTCTTATGTATCTATACTTTGTTAAGTGTGCATTAACACACTAAACTCAAGATCAAGGAGGAAGACGAAAAATGAATCCAACTGCACTGTTGAGACCGGTTTCCAGTCATATCGTCTAAGGTAACCAACCATGGATTACAACTATCATATAATTGTAAACTAGGATGCATAAAGTTCCCTTGAACAGTTCAGAATATCATTCGACAACTTGAAATTCAAGTTAACATTCAAATAATAACGATTGTTTTGGATATGATAAATTTCGTTCATAACAGTATGTCATTTAATTAATGATAAAGTGTTTATCTTTTTTCGCATTTTCAACAGGATTTTGAGAAGGAAGTAAAAGAATTAAACCGATTGCTTGATCAATACAATCTATTAGTCCCTAGTCATCAGATGCAGCGTTTTCATTTGAATAGTAAGACAGCTATTGACCAACTGATGAAAGCTAAACAATCACACACGAATGAGCAAAACAAACGTGATCCTACTACGACTCAAAATGAAAGCAAAGACGGCGTACCACAAACCGAGGATAACAATCAGAGTTTATGGGATCCCCGCTATATGGCTGAAGTAATGCGCGACTTTTACCGTGAATTGGCTAGGTCATGGGCGAGTATTCTACGAGGCTTTAAAGATCATAAATAACACCTTGTATTACTCTAAAATATTGCTGTTTATGTATATTCATATCACAGCTAACAAGTATTCTAAATCAACTTATAGTTCAAATAGGCTAAATTAACAAAGCAATCTCTCGTAAAGTAATGAAAAAACATTCGTATGTTTCACACTTTTTTCTTATCAACTTTAATCTTCATTTCATTAAAGTAAAAAAAACCAGCTGAATCTGATCGTGTACAAAAAATCGTTGACGTGAAATCAATCATAAAAAACTAATATCAACTGCATAACCAATGACGGTAGGCCATGACACATAAAGGACTATCGATTTTTCTATTTTAAGACATGCAAATTTTGTTCAATTCACAGATTTTGAGTTGTTTGACTAGACTGAATTGAGGCGACTAAGAAATGATAGGAATCTCATATTTTGAAATAAAATAAAAATCAACTCTTGAGAAAGGAGACGTGTAACTATGAGGTCAAATTAAACTTAAAAGCAAACATTAATGGTGGTAGTAAAGTACAAGTTGTCCAACAGTAAACACGTTCGCCATGGGATTTTAGGTGCAGTATTTGAGGTTGTCAAGAATGATCAGCTATTGAAAGTATCATATCAAAAAGCAATATCAATCCTGAGCTTCATTGTATTTAAATATTTTCCTCTTCAAAGAATCAGTATCTCATCTTGTCACTCATAATACAAAAGTTTTCTTACACAATCATTTCCCAAGGTAAGTGCTAGACAGAGTAGGATTAATTCGTCGTAAAGAAGTAGTTATGATAAAGTCATATGAAGGAATGCTTGAAATATAAATCAAGTAATAATAATAATATACAAATAGAAATTATGTCTCAAGCTTCCAAGAACCTACTGCAGACGTTTACTACTCACTGTTTATCTTAAACCAGCTATCTGACCTAATGATTGTAACTCATTCTTTACCAGAGTCATTCAACAACTTTAACAGGGCTCCACTGTGAATGTACATCGGTGACTAGAGTATTATTTACTTACGACTGCTACAATTTGTGGAGCATAGACTATCAACCAGGATCCTCCAACCAACTCTGGACTGCGCCCTCCACTCTAACTGTTTCTGATCACTATCCATTCTTTTGATGTCTGCCTCCTCTTCCCGATGCAATGTGTTCTTAGGTCTTCCTCTTTCCCTTTTCCTTTCAGAATTCCAAATTAGTGCTTGCTGCATGATGCAGTGTGATGATTTCCGCAAGGTATGTCCTACTCACCTCCAGCGTTTCTTCTTAATTTCCTCTCAAGCTGAAAGCTGGCTTATTCTCTGACATAGTAGGTTGTTCCTGGTGGTGTCTGGCCAGAGGATATAGAGCATATTGTGGAAACAGCTGTTTATAGATACGTGTATCATTATAGTGATGATTGTAGTTCTACAAGTTTCAGCTCCGTACAATAGGACTCTTTTGATGTCTTCACTGAAAATTCTGACTTTGGTGTTAGCTGATGGTTCTCTTGAGTTCCAGATGCTCGTCAGTTGTAGGAATGCTGTCCTTGCTTTTCCGATCCGTGCCTTCACATCTGCATCAGTTCCTCCTTGTTTATCAATGATGCTTCCCAAATACGTGAAACTTTCCACATCTTCCAGAGCTTCTCCATTAAGTGTGATTGGGTTGGTGCTCGCTGTATTGTATTTCAGGATTTTGCTTTTCCCCTTGTGTATGTTGAGGCCTACTGATGCAGGAGCTGCTGCTACACTGACCGTCTTCCCCTTCGTTTGTTCTTGTGTATGGAATGGAAGAGCTAGGCGATCTGCGAAATCCGAATCGTCTGGTTACATCCAAGCTGTTCATTGTATTCCATGCTCCCCGTGAGATGTGGAGGTCTTCATAATCCAGTCGACAGCCAGAAGGAAAACATCGTGAGTAGGCAACCTTGTCCACCATATTTATGTCACGTCTACAGACGCTAATCGCTAACTGACTAAGTATGTTTTAAGCAGACTACATCACTACATGGTAAGACTATATCGCCTGTACACTCAACGTTGAAAAGCCTTTCTTTGAGCAAAAGATATTTACCACTACGCAAAGATATGGAGTAGTAGTGATTTAGAACAAACTTACCCAACTGTATTGTTCATTTTTAGTGGAAAAGTGTGGCTGTATCATCTCACTTTACTTGAATTATGTGTCCAGTTTTCAATATGTTGACGGAGGAAACAAATCCCCATTATGTACATTCATGTCACATAAAGTGAAATGAGTTAACTGCTAGGTAAAAAAAAAACCAGTCGCTTTAACTATACAAAGAACGAGAGATTAGCCCATCGCATAATTTACATAGCACTACGAACGTTTACCTTATGTCATGTGCGAAGTATGCATGACAATGTTTAGGATAAATTATAGTCTGATTACTTATCGAATAAATTATGCAGCAGATAGGAATGGAACCGGTAAGTAGAAGTGAACATAGTCACTCTTTGTATGCATAAGATCAGTTAACTTCAGAAAGAATAAAGAGATCATTGCACAAGATAACATATCTATATTTCGCAAAATATTTACAAAATTAAACAGAAATTCAATAAGGATTGAATTGCCATCATCGAGCTTCGAAAACACTCACTAAAATAAAGGGAAGTTTAGATCGATTAAACGATAAGAATACAAAAATGTCAGATTGTCTGAAGTTAATGTTTATTTAAACCAAAAAACTCATTTTAAGCATACTGCAAGTCAAAGTTTTAGGAGTTGAAGGTATTATATGAAGGAACAGAAATACTCAGTTGTTTTGATGAGCGTATTTGTATCGGAAGAAGGACACTTATAAATTGTTTGCCATATCAACTATCTTTGGATGCGTTTATACCATCTACAAATTCTTATGCATCATGACACTGAGAGTGAATAATTTCCATGTAAACTGCCAAAATCACAGTATAAAGGAGGAGAACTTATAAATTACATAGAGGTTTGTAGGAGGTAAAGTTACCACTAAGTATAATCGAAATCCGAAGTTAAATGATAGTGAATGTTTCTTAATACTTGCATGACTAACCCAACTTTCGAAACTTATAAATCTCCTCAGAGAATGATTGTGAACAGTGGTGGGTAGCGAAAGCAGGAGAGATGGAAAAGGCAGAGGCAATAGGTAACAGCAGACAACTGTTCAGACTTGTTAAGGAAACCGGTATTAGCAACCCGAATGTTGGCGAAACTATCTCAGAGAAAGATGGACATATTATTCATTCTCAATCCAGGAGATGGGACCGATGGGCAGAACACTTTAGGGACCAGTTCAACTGGCCTTCAGCCACACTTTTGTTTCCCACGATCTCCAGTCAACCTGAATGGCAAGTTAATGTAGGTCCTCCAACTCTTTACGAGGTTGAAAAATCTATAGGAAATCTGAAGCGAGGGAAAACAACAGACCCTGACAGGTTTACTCCTGAGATTTCTAAGGATGGTGGTCCAGTATTAGCAGTGAGATTGACTGAGATCTTAGGTAGAATTTGGGGACTGGACGTAATCCCATCTGACTCATCTCAATCACTGATTGTGCCAGTCTATAAAAAGGACAAAAGTCCTCTTGTGACAATCACAGAGGAGTCAGTTTGACTAATATAGTGTCTAAAATATTGGCTTCAATAATACTTCGACGCCTAACCAAAGCTCGTGAAGAACAGACTAGAGAAAATCATGCTGGTTCTCGACCTGGACGTGGTTGTATAGACCACATATTCACACTACGTCAGGTTCTAGAACACAGACACACATTCAGACGCCCCACAATAGTAGTATTTCTCGACCTTAAGGCAGCATTCGACTCTGTTGATCGTGAGGTTCTATGGCAATGTTTGTCACTGAAAGGAGTACCAAAGTACATTAACCTTGTAAAGGCTCTCTACTCGAACACAACTGGTCGAGTGAGAGCTTATGGTGAACTGTCATCAGAATTGATTACCTCAAGTGGTGTTCGTCAGGGCTGTCCACTCTCCATTCTTAACTTTGTCGTTGACTTGCTTTTAGAGATGACACTTCCCTCATCTAGATTTCCAGGGGTTAAACTTCTACCGGGAGATCCTGTTATATCCCGATAAGAATAATGAATGGTAATTCTTGGGATCCATTTATGAACCAATGCTATGAGTATATTTTTATCGTATAATTGTTATGTAACTAAACTGTTCATATTCATGTTGCTCTTATCATAAGCTTTAATTTGACCCATAGATTGTTACTATACGATTTACCATTCTTGATTTATGGCCTGTCTATTAATTACTATCTCTCTCATTCACAGCCACTTTTGGCCAAATATTGTACAAATGTTATGTTCTATTTTATGGTACATTGTGGTCGGTTTGATTGGTATATAAACCCCGTATGTTTGAAATAATTGATTCATATCGCAGAGGCTGAGACTTGCGTTCTGGACCTAACTGGCTGGGCTAGACAGGGAGCGAGACCAATCAGAACTCTAGGCTGCTCGCATGTGTTTTATGCGCCACTGGTTCGATCGATAATTCGCTGCTCTCTGATTGGCGGTATCGTTGCGTTATCCAATATACAGGGCACACAGGTTCACAAGTTATAACAGATCCACTTGTTGACTTAGAATATGCCGATGACATAGTTCTATTTGATGAAGACGCTGACAAAATGCAGAGTATTCTGACCACTCTAAGCAACAATGCTAGCATGTTCGACATGCGATTCTCCCCCTAGAAACCCAAAATGTTGCTTCAGGATTGGGTTGCAACGACACCCGAACTAATGATAGGGAGTGAAGTAGTTGGGTGTATCGACCGCTTCACTTATCTTGGAAGTCTCATTAGCCCTTGTGGTCTGGTGTGTGACGAAATCTCAGCACGGATACAGAAGGCTCGACTAGCTCTTGCCAACTTGCGTCATTTATGGCGTAGGCGAGATATCCGTCTATCAACCAAAGGACGTGTTTACTGCGCAGCAGTTCGTACCGTCCTACTTTATGGCAGTGAAACATGGCCGGTAAGAGTAGAGGATATTCATAGGTTACTAGTATTCGATCACAAGTGTCTTCGAAACATCGCTCGTATATCCTGGGACCACCAAGTAAGTAATACAGTTGTTAGGAAACGGGTACTAGGTAAGGATGGCAAATCAATTGATGTAGTGAAACTTCATCAGGTGAAATGGCTGGGACACCTTATATATGCCCAACCACCGATTGCCCCTATGAGCGATGTTTTCTGGTGTGGGAGTAGGTTGGAAGAAAGCTGGGAGAGGCCAGACCAAAACATGGCACAAATCCCATGAAGTCACTGACAAGTGGACTGAGTCATGTTGGTAGGTGTAAACTATCTGGTTGGGGACCGCGAGATGATAACAACCGATGGTTAGAGACCTTGAATGACATGGCTCAAAATCGTTTGCAAGGGTGCA